CTGCACATACATCATTCTGCACACTGACACTCGAACATCAACTGTAGGAACAAGAAGAAAAGCTGATTTTTAAGCGGACTTGCTAATAAACTCTTTCTCATTCACCCATACGCACAGATAGCAGCGAAGCTACAGTACCATGCAAGGGGCTGCGCCATTAGCAGCAATGGTAATAGGAGCTGGAGATTGAACCACCAACTGTGCCACTGCCAGGTAGAATACAACACCTTTACTTAAGTTAGATTTCAAATGTAGGAATTTTTTTTTGCATGTGCCTTATAAAGTACAGTCTACTTAACATACGTGTTCTGTCTCTGGTTAGAAGTGTGTTTCAAAGTTGTGGAGTGTAAATCTATTAGTGAAGTGTCTAAGGCCATGACTTCTCATTATATCAGCAATAATGTTTTTATTGATATGAATCCCCCATCCATTCAACGCCAACATGCTTTGTGCACCTGCTTCACTGATGTGTTTCTGACAGGGTTTTTGTGACCTCTAAATATTATTCCTACTTCTGTAAGGGAAATCTGTAATTTATGTTTTGTTGCATAGCAACATGGGCAGATACCCACAATGAAACAGATACATAATGCCATTATAATTAAAGGCCTTGATTAAAAAAAAGAAAATGTCAAGCTTAATATGGACTGTTGGTGGCTTTGGTGATTGATTTGATCATGTAAATTATTTGTTGGACCACTGAGCCTACGTTAAAAGTCCAACTATTATCAAACTAACACAAGACTAGCTATAAGAGCAGTTATGAAATCTCTAATATTGTGCCATGCCTGATGCCTGAGATATTAACCAAAATATAAAACTAATTAGTAACAAGTAATTTGATAATCTCCATGGTATCTTTCCTGGGCAATAGCAAGTGAATATCTCTGCTGGAAATAAACAAATATTTGGCTCCTTTCTATGGTTTCTTTCTGTAATTCCCCAAATAGATCAAGGTACATTGCCTACATTGCAACAGAGAGGGCCACAAATAGTCCTTTTCAACAACAGCTTGACTGTTTTTGAACTGGTGCCAAGAGCAGACTTTGTGATCACTCAAATGAATGGAGGCCTCATTGTAATTCCCTCCTCTGTGTTTGGGAATGCATGAATGTCACCAGCTGCCACGTCTGCTCCACTGTGGAAAATGTCCAAAAACCTTAATTATCACGCTTAATCATCCATGGGATTGAAGCAGGGGAGATCCCACTGTAACAGATTGGCGATGTAAAACACGGTCATTGCATTGAGCTGTGTGCCTGGAATCCCAAGAGGATCTGTCTGGTACAGCTGATGCTGGTATAGATTCAATTTTTCATGAAATGCTTCTGATATATTTTTTTTCACAATTTAATAAAAAATACCAACAAATTTTAAATCAGAACATCTGATGGTGTGATGATAACCTACATTCAAGTAACCACCCTTAGTTTTATGCTGATTATAGAGTACTGTATTATATGTATTATATGTATACTGTATTTTTTTTTATTTTTTATTTTTGATTAAACAGCATCAAGCAAAATTTACAAGATACAAGATAAACTTAATTGACACTTAAGACTGGCCATACATGTAGACAGCAGAATGAAACAGTTTACTCAGCTGAATGTGCAAAATAACAACATAGATAAAAACATACAAAACAACATACATGTCCAAAGCAAATTTACGTACGTGTGTGTCTGAGAGTGTAGTGTGAGTGTGTGTGTGTGTGTATGTGTGTGTGTGGAGGAGGTTAGAAGGAGTTAAAGAGTCTAATGGCTCAGCAGAAAAAGCTTATACAGGATCTGGTTCTCCAGCTCTGCATCATTTGCAGCTGCAGTTACAGATGTTTTTGGTTCTAAAATGATGAATCATGTTGTGACAGTGCCACATTTCCTCTTGGAATTCTTTTATAAGTGTTTACAATTATACAATGTATTACAATTACACTAAGAAGATCTTACAGACAAAGCAGAGTTTTTCAGTTTCTTCAGTGTGATTGCATTACTCAGCCACATGATGGCAAGCCACTTCCATTCTTCTTTTTGCTGGAGCTCCTGATATTGGTAACAGGTGAAATCTTTGCTGTTTTTGAATTATTCCTCCATGCAACAAAAGAACCCACTGACTCACTTATCTGTAGCTTCATCATCATATGTTTACATTATTCAGGACTCCCTGGCAGTAACCCAGGTCTGGATTCAAAATCCCTAAACATTATAACAAATATAACAGATGCCTGTCTAGCCGGTGTCCTGCAGGATCTTTGTGTTGAAAGAAGCCTGCAGCGTATTGAGTTATTTGCCTTGGCTGCGGGTAAATGTATTCAGGAGTGGTGGCATCTTTTTAGACTGTGCATCTGACTTTCTTAAAGAACAGATGGTGTTGTTTCCAAACTACCAATTAGCAAGGAGATAGTAACAACCAGGCACTAGCGGCAGCTCTCCCTGCCTCGTTCATGCCCTCTTCTCTCTCTCTCTCTCTCTCTCTCTCCTCTCTCTCTCTCTCTCTCTCTTTCGGTCTTTGTCCCTCTGAGCCCTCTTGTTCAGCTCTCTCCGTTAAAATCTCTGCCTGACTCTCCCCCTCTGCAGCCCTCCACGGCCACAGTGGCAGTATGACACTGGAGAGATGTGTGGCCTGCTGAACAGATTGGGAGTGACATATGTCAGACATGGGGGGACTTAGTGGGGCAACCAAGTGTGTGTCCCCCAGCGTGCTTGTGTGTGTGTGTGTG